GATACAGTTTATTTATATATAGGATTCGAAACACCGATAATCAAAAATCGCAATTAAAATAGATCAATTTGTAAACTACGAATCTTTTTAAAAATATTACGATTAAAAAAACACACTAATTACAAGAATTCACTCGATATTTTTGTAGAAAAAAATGTCTAAAACCTATTTTTTTGAGCAACAAGATGGCTCGAGAATTGCTTATAATATTCTAGAACCACACAAACCAGACGATATTTAAAAAAAAGTACCCTTAGTATTAATCATGGATGGTGAATATTTGCATTTTAAACAAAATTATTCTCATAATTTTAAATTAATGTATATAATATATGATAATTGAGTATGGGCGTTAAAGAATTATTTATGGGACTGAAAGAAGGTTAAGATTGATATCTTTATTACGTAGGTGAACATTTTTGGTTTTACTAAAAAATGTAGTATTTATAAGATTTTTTTTTTAATTGATTAATGCTGGTTTAATAAACCAATTTATTTTTACGGTCTAGTAAAACCAAAACTTATACCAAAGATTGCTTTGCATAGAAAAGTAATTAACTTAATCAATTATTATTAGAATTAGCCAAAAATCAAAAAGTTTTGCCACATTAATTTTATTGCAGAATTTATTCTTTTGACTAACATCCCGAATTTATTAGTAATTATATTTGATAATTGTGGAATGGGTAAATCAAATGTTGTTTCATATATGAACCTATTTCAATTGATTTGATGGCACAAGATACGCATGAAAATTTTCTGTGCCAGGTTTTGTCGATCATTTTGATACAGTCAAAATTTTTAAAGCTCAAAATGTTAGGATTAACGTTTAGAACAAGGTTAAAGATTAGGAGATTAGATAGTAAAATCGCTCAAGAAAAACTTTTTGTTAGAGCACTAAAGGTGGTTTTTTATACAGATTTTGAGAAATAAGCGATTTTTGACAAAACGAACGTTTGTTTTGAAATTTCCTGATCGTGTTACATTACACCTGATTCATGAAATCTGATTTGTAGTTTATGGATTTGCGCCACAATGATCGACAAAACCTGGCACAGAATTTTTGCATGCACAAGATACAATCGCATTAGTTAAGCATCTAGAAATCAAACGATTTAATTTGTTAGGGTGGTCTATGGGAGGTAATATCAAAGTTTAAATATCAAAATTTTAGATAAATAACTCTAAATTTTATATATAGGCTTTATTGCAATTAATGTCGCATCAAATCTTCCATTGGGTCTTGAACTAGAGAAGCTTATTATTTGTGCAAGGTATAAGTAATTTAACTCATCACCTTCTTTCTTAATAAAGTCCAGCTCAACCTCCAGTATTTTAATACTTTGAAGACCTTTATAATTCGCCAAAGTCATCAGATTTACCAAAAATATTCAAGAACAAAAAGATTTGTTTATGAGAATATATGAAAAGAGTTTTACTGATTATATGGTTAAACATCCAGATATATTTGATAAATATGCAGAAATTGAAGTTACAGCTAATTATCCATTTAAGATTTTTAGTTTGTATATTTTTAGCTAGGCTTTATTATATTCAAAATTCTTAGAGGAATAACTTTTAACTTATTTTTAGAATGACAATGGAAAGCAATGAAAGAACCAAATATTTTACCAATATCAAAAACAATCAAGGTCCCAACCTTACTAATTCATAGTGAAGATAATAATTTTATTCCAATTAAAAAAAGCGAACTTCTTGCTTGTGAAATTCCTAACAACAAATTTATTTTGATTCTCCAAGCTGGATATATGTATGCATAGTTTCAAACCTTTGTTTCAATTTATTTTAAAAAACTTTACTAATTATTATTTATAATATTTGTTTAATTAAAAAGATTTTGGTTTGGTGCACCGAAGTTTATAACCTTTATAAATGAGTTTTTGACTAATTAAAACTATAATAGCTAAAGTTTTTTTTGGAGTTTAAATTATACGATCTGATTAACTCTGTTACTGCAACAAATAGATTTACTTTTTGAAATATATTACCAAAGATAATAATTTTTTTAGATTTATTATTTTAGTTATTGTTATTTAGAAGTATTATCTAGATATAGTAAAGATTGCTTAGATAATTTAATAACAGGTTGTTATAATTGTTAAAGATTTGTATTTAGTTCTTGCTATTAAATATAAAGATGTTTTGGTTTTGTAATTCAGTAGAGTCAATATAATTGATATTAGAAGTAGTAATTGGTTGTTGTTTAGGAAAATTTTAGTGCTTTTATTTAGATAAGGATTTTTAAGATATTGAAATCTCTCTCTACATCACATCTATATATATAAATTATAATTTGTTTTATAACAACTAAAATAAACTGAGATTTTTTGTTTGGTTAGAGTTAGATAGAGTTAGGGTGCAATATAAAAGAAATTTATAGTAAAATTTTGTAAGGAATTTTTTTTGTTAGAGCGTGAAAGATAGGTTTATATATGAAATTTTGAGTTATAAGTAACTTTTGTCAAAATGAAAATTTGAATCTTCCTGATCATGCTACATTACACCTGATCTTGAAATTTGATTGGTCAATCATCTAAAATGTGATATTGTTACGACTATGGAGAGCTTTTATATATCCAAGCCAATTTAGTATAGCACCATAAGCATAAATCCTGATGGTAAATAGCACAATCTGGATTTGTATTTGGTAATAATTATCAATTGGGGTAGGTATTGCTGTTTCAATAAGACTATATGAGTGCGTAAGAATGAAAACCTGTAACTGATCATAGTAAATCATTATAATCAGTTCCAGGTTTTTATTCTCA